CTTGGGAAGCTGAGGTGGGAGAATTGCTTGAACCCGGGAGCGGAGGTTGTGGTGAGTTGAGATGGTGCCACTGCACTCCAGCCTGGGTAACAACAGCGAAACTCCATCTCAAAAAAAAAAGGTGATCCATCCACCTCAGCCTCCCAAAGTGCTGGGATTACAGGTGTGAGCCACTGCGCCCAGCACTGAACTCACTCTTGATACACTCTCTACATCTCAATTTCTTCATCTACTAAATGGGTACAATAATACTTCCAACACCATGGAGTTGTGTAAGGATTAAATGAGAACAGAGGTATAACACTTAATTTGTTGCCTGGCACATAGAAAGTGATCCATAAATGTTATCTATTATTACCTGAATAAATGCTCAGCCTCCATGAGTCCAGTGCTGGAATGGCGTCACATGTAAGAAACAAGTCTAACCTCAGGGGGGCAGGGAAAAAAACAAAAAAAAGCATGTTAAAAGCAATTTTAAACCTTAATATATTAGATTCAATTCAAAATCCACAGCAGCACCTGTTAATATCATCTTTCCCAATTTTTTTGGCTCACAATGTTTCTCCTAACACTGCCCCTGCCCTTAACCCTCTATATCCATTCCCACTGTCAATTCACAATAAAAAAAAAAACCCTGTATTTTGTTCCTGTCCACATCGACTCCCTTTTTGTATGAGCAGTTCTTGGTCTACCGCTTTCTAACATAAATTAATCACCCAGTCTACTCCCTGAAATTCTTCAGCTGTTTTTTACTCATTAAAAAGAGTAGTCTAGACCGGGCACGGTGGCTCACGTCTGTAATTTCAGCACTTTGGGAGGCCGAGGCGGGTGGATCACGAGGTCAGGAGTTCAAGACCAGCCTGGCAAAGACGGTGAAACCCCGTCTCTGCTAAAAAAAATACAAAAGTTAGCGGAATGTGGTGGCGGGTGCCTGTAATCGCAGCTACTCAGGAGGCTGAGCCAGAGAATTGCTTGAATCCAGGAGGCGGAGGGTGCAGTGAACTGAGATCGTGCCACTGCACTCCAGGCTGGGTGACACAGTGAGACTCCGTCTCAAAAAAAAAAAAAAAAAAGAGTAGTCTAGGCTGGGCATGGTGTCTCACACCTGTAACCCCAGCACTTTACTTTGGGAGGCCAAGGCAGGTGGATCACCTACGGTCAGAAGTTCGACACCAGCCTGGCCAATATGGTGAAACACCATCTCTACTAAAAATACAAAAAATTAGCTGGGCAAGGTGGCATGCACCTGTAATCTCAGGTACTTGGCAGGCTGAAGGAGGAGAATGGCTTGAACCCAAGAGGCAGAGGTTGCAGTGAGCTGAGATCACACCACTGCACTCCAGCCTGGGCAACAAGAGCAAAACTCCATTTCAAAAAAAAAAAGTCTGGAACTGAGCAAGCAAAACTAGGCTCTCTCTTAATAGATGAGAAACAGAAGTGAAAAGAGACCAGAGGCAGAATTTTATTCTGTGAATATAAGTAAGCATTGCAAGTATATAATTTAGTATCTCTTCACCCTAAAAGCCGTAGTTATTATTATTATTACAAGACCCTGAGGGCTGTCTATTTAATCTATTTCAGGAGGCCACCATTGGAACCCTTTATATGCCCAAGTCAGTCATATCCTTGGAAGCCTTCAAAACACCCAAGCCCTACTGTGTTCTATGCTAAAGTGAGAATATCCCTAACTCACCATTTTGTTTTATAACCCTGTTCCACAAATACCACATCATGAAAGTCTGCCCTCTTGATACCTTAACAAAGGTTTCTATGAAAAAGTTCTATTTTTTTTTTTTTTTTTTTTTACCTAGCCCCTGCACATCACGGTTTTAACATTAGGAATGTGGAGTAGTTGACTAAAGTTGCGAAGGAATGACCAGAGGATATTGCCCTTCCCCTTTTCACCACTAATGCTGGTCCTAAAACACTACTCCTGTAGTAAACTTTTTCCCATGAAATACCTTGTTCTCCCCTATACGAAATATTTACTAGTTTCCTTTCCCTATTGGCACTCAAGCCATGCACGGATACATCTAATTTTTAAGTGGGCACAGTGGGTTCACACTAAGAACTTTGTCACACCAAGAGGTCACTCTCTAACTCTGAGGAATAGAATCAAGAACAACATAATTTTGACTTTCTTGCCCTAATTGTAATCATATCATAATTGAAAGTGAAATACTGTGGGCTGGGCATGGTGGCTCACGCCTATAATCCCAGCACTTTGGGAGGCTGACGCAGGCGAATCACGAGGTTAGGAGTTTGAGACCAGCCTGGTCAACATGGTGAAATCCCATCTCTACTAAAAATACAAAAATTAGCCAGGCATGGTGGTGGGCGCCTATAATTCCAGCTACTCAGGAGGCTGAAGCAGGGAAATCGCTTGAAACTGGTCGGGGGGTGGGCAGGGGAAAGGGGCAGAGGTTGTAGTGAGCCAAGATCGCGCCACTTCACTCCAGCCTGGGTGAAAGAGCGAGAGAGACTCTGCCTCAAAAAAAAGAAAAAAAAAAGAATTCTTTTATTGTTCTTGTTCATATCTGTACCTGCAATTCTAAACAGTGTCTCACACATAATAAGCACTGAAACAGTTTTCTAATTGTTTGGTGCATTTACAAAGCTAAGAAGTTACTTCTTCTGAAGTAAACTTGGGTTTCCTAAGGTGTTTAAAACTTATTTGTATAGCCAATAAAATGGCCAAACTGTCAAAACATTGTTCTTTTCTTCATTCTAACAATCTGCCTTGTATTCTCTGAAATCTCTCGTTGGGCGCGGTGGCTCACACTTGTAATCCCAGCACTTTGGGAGGCCGAGGCAGGGGGATCATGAGGTCAGGAGATCGAGACCATCCTGGCCAACGTGGTGAAACCCTGTCTCTACTGAAAAAATACAAAAAAAATTAGCCGGGTGGCGTGCGCCCATAGTCCCAGCTACTCGGGAGGCTGAGGCAGGAGAATGGTGTGAACCCGGGAGGCAGGGCTTGCAGTGAGCATTCTCTTCTTGAGATGGAGTCTTACTCCGTCATGCAGGCTGGAATGCAATGGCGTGATCTCGGCTTACTGCAACCTCCGCCTCCCGGGTTCAAGCCATTCTCCTGCCTCAACCTCCCAGTTAGCTGGGATTACAGGTGCCCGCCACCATGCCCAGCTAATTTTTGTATTTTTAGTAGCAACGGAGTTTCACCATGTCGGTCAGGCTGGTCTCAAACTCCTGACCTCAAGTGATCTGCCTGCAGCCCTCTCTTCCTTTCTCTGAAGGTAAAATTTACACTTGGAAAATAAGATGGCAGTCATATCTGGCAGTTAACTGTTCTCTGCCTCCGTGGGGCCCAAATCCAATCTTCTGAGGCAGCAGCAATTGTCAAAGCTCTGACTACCAGTATAGCACTGAGGAGCACTTCACAGTTTAGAACCATTTAGACTAAATTGACCCAAGTAGCAAACATCTATAAGAGAATCACTGCTGATAAGACTTCTATGAAGGATTCCAAATGTCTTAAAGATAACTTCACGGGAGTGGAAAGGAGCTGAACTCAGCCATCTGACTACGGAAGCGTTCTATAAACCTTTAGGCCAGGAATGGTGGCTCACACTTGTAATCCCAGCACTTTGGGAGGCCGAGGTGGGCAGATCACGAAGTCAGGAGTTTGAGACCAGCCTGGCTGGCGTGGTGAAACACTGTCTCTACTAAAAATATAAAAATTAGCTGGGCATGGTGGCACACATCTGTAGTCCCAATTTCTTGGGAGGCTGAGGCAGCAGAATCGCTTGAACCCGAGAGGTGGAGGTTGCAGTGAGCCGAGATCACGCCACTGCACTTCAGCCTGGGCAACAGAGCAAGGTTCCATCTCAAAAACTAAACTAAACTAAACTAAACTAAATAAAATAAAATAGCTTTAATAATGACCCTGTCACCAGAAAAACAGACACTTTGTCCTAGCCTTCTAATCAGCTGTATTTAGCAGCCAACATCCATCTTTTGCAATAAAATGCCACCTCTTAGTTCCTATTCCTATCAAATTATCACAGGTTTGGGCAACAGATAAATCAGAAACTACAGTTAACTTGTCTAGGACCCAAGACAATTAATAAAACTTACTTGGAGAAGCAGAATAGCCTCTAGTCACCTGAAGACAAGTTTTAAAGATCCTAACAACTGTTAACACTTGGGCACACCAAAATGATTATAATCTGAAAAACAGCCACATGTCACTTCCAATGGGTGTCATTATACAAAAAGTGATCTTCCCCCTCCGAAATCGTTTTTAAAGTCAGCTAAATCTTGAACAATGACTTCTACTCTTCTCTAAAATAGGAGCTATGACAGCTACCTTAATGAGATGCCTGATAAACTCAGGGCAAGGGGCTCACTGTGCTGACATTCTCACCTCACCTAGGACTTCTGCTGATTCATCCTGATGGGCTGACAAGTCACTGACTTGCCAAATAATCTTGTTTATTTCACATATAAAAATACTGTCTACTCAAGACAACTACTAGCCAGATACCTTCTCCTGCTCCTGCTACAGAGCCTTTCCCTCTCTGACTTCATGGAACAACTAGCAACAACAAAATATATATGTATATTTCAGGTGACTATTAGTAACTCTCTATAACTAACAAGCCATAAAGGGCTGGAAACAGAGCCCATAAAAGGGCCAGAGTGTTAACCCTCAGCAATTTGCCAGTTTTTCAAAGAGATCAAAATCACCTGGGGAAGAAACAATAGCTTTTCAGGATTAACAGATGTTTGGTATTATTACGGTAATCTGAAAAATAGTTGCCAAGCTGGGACCCGAAAATATCAGTCGCGAGGCACACCAAATAATCACAGAAATATTTAAGTAAGTAAGCTTTGTTCTAACATGAACTTCAAAAAGAAAGACAAGTCAGGGCAATAAAAACAAGCAGAAAACATCCATTTCATTTTAAAAGAATGAAAGAGAGAAAGGGAAGGGGAAAAAGAGAAACAATAAAGAACTATGCCCATGTTTAACATGGCCACAGTTATGTGTAGCAATTCCCATCAAGAAGTGTAGTTCATCTCAAAAAAAAAAAAGTACAGTTCATTTCCCCACCCCTTAAATCTGAGCTGGCCTTGTGACTTGCTTTAACCATCAGAGTGCAGCACGAATGACACTGCGACCAACGAACCCACGCCTCAAGAGGCCGTTCAGTTTCCACTCAAAACCTCTTGGAATCTAACCATCATGCAAGGAAGCCAAACCAGCCTGCAAGAGGCCATACCAACCTAGAGGACAGCTTTAGCCCAATGCTAGACGTGTGAATGAGGCTATCCTGGTCCAATCAGCCCCTAGCTAACATGCCAACTGACCACAAATGAGTGAGCCCAGCCAAAACCATGTGGAATAGAGGCAAGCTGTGACAGATGAACCCACTTACATCATAAACAAAGAATGCAGCTGACCCTTGAACAATATAGGTTTATTACCAATGATAAAAATCAAGCTCTCAAGTGAAAATCAGAATTTTGAAAAACATGTAATCACTATGATGAGCCTGACAGTTTCTCAATACTTAAAGACTATTCTGCCAGGCACAGTGGCTCCTGCCTATAATCCCAGAATTTTGGGAGGCCAAGGTGGGTGGATCATCTGGGGTCAGGAGTTCGAGACCAGCCTGGCCAACATGGTGAAACCCCACCTCGACTAAAAACACAAAAATTAGCTGGGTGTGGTGGCAGGCACCTGTAGTCCCAGCTACTCGGGAGGCTGAGGCAGGAGAATCACTTGGACCTGGGAGGTAGAGGTTGCAGTGAGCCGAGATCGAGCTGCTGCATTCTAGACTAGGCAA